GGGAAAGCAGACCCTTCAGGGTGTTTTTAACCCGCAGCTCAGGTAGTGGTGGTCCTACTGAGAGCATCCTCTAGCGCGTTAGCCGTTTCTGCCCCTCTTTTAGTACTAGTACTATTACTTCTCCCCCGTTCCTGGCGTCCGGCAGAACTTTGCTTCCTCCCACCCAGACGGGAAGGACAAGACCCAGAGAAGGTGGGGAAAGCCACTAAATTGTCAGACTTCAGCGAGTCATTGATTGACACCTTGCGATAATTTGGGCTCAGCTCTTGCTGGCACCTATCTGTATTTTATACAGGAAAAAATCCCTTCCCATTCCCCATTGTCCTGTGAATCCTGGACTTCCTCCCCGTGCTGAAGCCCAGGGAAAAGCTGGCGTTGTTTCTTCCCTGCTTTACCTTCAAGACACGGTTTGAATTTGGGTAGAGAACGTGGAAGAAACGCCGTTTATCCCCTGAAAATGCAGTCTGGAGCTTTGTAAAAGAAACCAGGCTTTCGGGCACAAGAGGCAAGGTCGTTACAGTGATTCGAGCAACCACCCCCCTCCCTAGCTCCGCGACCTTCGAATGGCTCCGTTCTCCCACAGTTGATAGAAAAACACCCCCCACCAACATGCTGGGTCCAGGGAATTTTGTATCCCGGCCTTTCCTGTGTTTGGAAAGAGAGGAGGTGTGGAGGGAAAGGGGAGCAGAAAAGGAATTAAAAAGAAAGTGATGCTAAAGGGGGGAGAGGGCGGGGCGGTGATGTTTTAAATCTTTCCTGCAAATCTCCAAGTATCTGAAGTCTGAGGAACAAATTCAAAGCAGGCACGGCCGCCTGAAGAGAAGTTAGGGAGAAATATTCCGTTCCATTCAAGCGCATCAAGGGTCTAGCTGGAGTCTTGTTTGGCTAAGGTCAGACGAGCCTGGGTTCTCCAATAAAAATAAATCTCAAATTAATTATGGCCTCAAGCGAGGGGCCAGACGTTTGGAGCTTGTGCGCTGCAGTCTGTTTGCTCGGCCTGCGGGATGCTGGGGGGGGTGTGCCTTAGTTTTCCAGTAATTGCGGGAGCGGGGAGGAAAGGGACATGGAGCCCAAATAAAAGCGGCCAGGACACTGCTCACCCTACTGCTCGCCTAATTGCTATGCAGCTTCAAAGCTACTGCATCTTCTCCACCCCACTCTTAAGACGTTGTGTTTTACTTAGGATCGATTAGCAGGGAATAACTTCCCGGCTTCAAGTTCCCAAACGGGGCTGTTCCTGTAGACCCAGAGGTGGGATAGACCCGATCCTGCAGCTGTGGGGCTGGAAAACTCAACCGATTTCCTTTTGTCACTGGGAAGGAGAGGTTTGCCCAACGAGTTTAGTTGAGAATCGGCATTTGTTTCTCGGGATCAAATCCCGGGGCTGGAGTTTGGGCTTTTTTCTTGGAAGAATGTGGGTTTCGAAAACAAACAAACCACGTCGCGCTTTTCATTCTGCAACGGAGCCGGTGCCAGGGGAAACTCAGCCCCGGAAATCTTAAACGTTTGCTGAAGCTGGTGGAGATTTTTCCCTCCAGTGAAGTCTGGAGCAGAACAGACCCCGGCCTAAAAAGGGCAAAGAATGAGGGTAAATATGGTCAATAGTTTTATATAGGATAGCATTTATAGGGTTATAGTATACACACGCACTATACCTGCCTAGCAGGAGGTGCATAACTACGTAGATAGAGTTAAAGAAAAAGGTACTTTCTAGGGACAAAATCAAGGCGCGGGGCTGGATCTGGGGTTCCTCCGCCTCGGTTCAAAGCGACAGTCCCTGGGCGCTAACGAGAGCTCAGGTGATGCTCTTCAGGTGATAGAGAGGGAAAAAAGCCGGCTCCCTTTCCCAGCCTCCGAAATGAGGATTTCTAACGTGACAACCACGGCCTGGGAAGGTTTTCATTACCTTTATTCCTATAGAATAACTACACGGTTTTAATTACGAAGCGATGACCGCTAATCCCGTGTGAATTACAGGCAGAACATCCCTGTTTGAGGTTGTGTAGTCCCGCTAAATACTGGCACTGAACTGCGCTAAAGGGTTAACTGCTTTGATGCTGGACGTGAAACAGTCACTGGCCATATCCCCCCTACCCCCGCAGTGTGTCCTTATTGATTTCAATCGGATCACGCCAAAAACGTCGGTTTCGGCTTCTCCGTGCGAGGCTGCAGCCGGTGTAACTGCAAGGACGAAGAGAGGAGGTGGGGACATGCCAAGCGCTTGAGCTCAAGATCGAACTGATTAAAAACGTGGCTGGTGAATCTCGTCTCATTCATAAGCGGAGTGAAAAAAGAAATAATGAAAATAGCGGAGGAGTAACTGATTTCTACCAGCTTGTCCCAATGGAAGCATTTGAAATCTTCCGTGGTTGCCAAGATCAAATGATTTTCCAGATGTCTGGTGGTAACCACATTAAAGAGATCGTAATTCCGGCGCTGTATATACATAATGCATCCAAAACCCCAGCATCGGGTTAAAACCTGAGCACGACGAGCAGCATCGTGCCCGGCGGTGGCTTCGCTTCCCCTGCCCATCACCGCTGCCTCCCTCTCAAAACAGTTAAACCCAAAGGCTGAGCAATCACCTGGGATGATTCAGAGCTTGGCGCACGGGGGTTATGAATATTCCAGCTTTCCCAAGCAGTTTGAGATAACTTTAAGGGTGTTATTTTAGGGTTTAGGTGAAGCAAAGGTTCTATCGTTGCGTTACTGGGGGGGGGAATAGATTGTTTCGCTTGTCTATTAGTATGTTTAAAAATCTGGCTCGTTACCTTAGCCCTTGGACTTGTCGCGGGTCTTATTTTAGACCAAACACTGGAGGTAAAGCGCGGCGCAGCCCTGATGGACCCGCTCTAACCGGTGACCTCAAAAGGGTCACCCCTCAGGCATCCCAAATAAGCCCCTGGGTTCGCGGTGCCCGCCTGGCACTAAAATCCAGGGTTGGGTTCCCCACATGTCTGTAGGCGGGATAGGGATGTGGGTGTGTGTTTGACATCCTGGAGAGCACAGGGCATCCCTGCCCGGGGCACGGGCTCCTTCCAGGGTATGTTTTTTCCCCTTCCTCTCGCGGTTAAGCTCCTCAGCCTGTCCTCTCCCTCACCCGTTTTTTTGGGAGGGGGCTGGTAGTGTTGTCTAAAGAGGAAACCATTCGGGTTTTGAAAGGATGCGTTTCACTCTTCCCTTTAACCTCTCGCTTTTCTGGCTGCCGCAGCCTGCCATGCGGTAACGCTGGAGGGGGGAGTATTTGGAGGCGGGGGGGGGGTGGTGATGGTGGTGGTGGTGGCAGAGAACAGGGAAAAAGAGTAATGAGGGAAGCAAAGGGTTAACCGTGATTTCTTTTAATTGAACTCCAGTTCTTGTGGCCCTAGGCAAGGGGGGACCTGACCCCGCTAGCAGCATCCAGATGTGCTGCTCTCCGGGGAGACCCCGCGATTGTAAAGCAGACAAGAGGCGGGGGGGACGGGGGGGCGGGCTGTCCCCTCCGCTCCCCCCGCTTCACCTCCCGCCTGCAGACGGCCTCAATCGCTGGCAAGCAGCGAGCCAAAACCTCCAGGTCTGGTCACGTTCAGTCCCGTGTCTGCATCTGAACTCCCAAATTGTAGCTGAATTGATGAGGCTAATTTCAGGGGAGGGGGGAGGGAGGGGAGGGAGGGGCAAGGGGGGACCCACAGCTCTCCCCTGCCAGCCTCCGTCTTGGAGAAATAAAGTATTAATATAAGGCATCTCTGCCGCAGCCGGGTAGGAACACTAGTGGCATTATTGCATTTCCCTTTTGGAAGGGGCGGGTGAGAATAACTTTGGATAGCACTTTGACACCCACCCTCCCCCTCCCCTCCCCGTGGTTGGACTAAAGACGGGGGGGGAATCAAAAAGACTGGACACAACTGGCACTGGACAAGGTAATCCATACCTCCCCCCCCCCCCCCCAAGAGATCCGATGTGCGGGAGCATCCTCCTTTCTTGGATTCACCCTCCCTTGTTTTCATCCCCCCCTCTCTTTGCTCTTCTCCTGCAGCTGCAGCAGTTTGCAGAAGTGGGGATGAAGGAGTGTTGCATGATGTGTTCCGCTGCTGGTTTTGCAAGGGGGGGTGGGGGTGAGCCGGTGGTGTCCCTTTCCCTCGGGTCCTTTGGATGGGTTCAGTTTTTCCCGGAAAAAAAGGGAGGGAAAAGAGTTTATTTTCTGCTGATCGCTCCCGTTTGAATGAAATAGAGAGAATTGGACGTCAGGGGCAAGCCGGGTCTAAAATGAGATTTAAAGGTTGGGGTTTTGTAGTGCCCGTTTTGCCAAGGTGTCCGGGAACGGCCAGCTCAGCTGCTCTGACAATTATTGTCAATTTGGTTCATTTTTGGCTTCTAAAGTAGCTTGATTTGGTTTGGTTTGGTTTTGTTTTCCCTGAGTGGGGTTTTAACAGCTTAGTGGGAAACTGGGACTGGGAGAGGATGGTGGAGAAAATGCTCCTAGTAAACGCAGTGAAATGGATGGGCATCCTCTGCTTCGGAGCCCCGTATCCCAGGGATGCTGGGAAGGAAAGGAAGGGGTGAAAGTGGGGAAGAGCCTCCGCAGCCCCGTTTCCAGCCTGTGTTTAATGGCACTCTCGCACTGGAGAGGGACCGGACCCTCGCCTCACTCTCCTTGATGGGAGGCGTGAAGCAGAGGGGCAGAAGTTGCGTTCTAAACGTGTTTTAATCCCCACGCTCTATATTTCCCCCCATCTGCCTGCCGCCACCGACTTGTATTTACGGTTTTCTCCCTTTCCTTTTTGCCTGTGACTGGAAAACGCATTAATGAAAAAATCTGTGGGAAGAGACGGAAATTCAGTGAGTCAGGCTTAAAGCTGCTCCAGCCAAGAGAAGACAAAATAATATCGCAAAAGCTCTGTTAAACTAAACTGTGGGATGACACACGGCGCTGGGGTGCGAGGCAAGGGCTTGGACAAACAAGAGCTGCCAGAGGTAGCTATTGTTCTGCCCCTTCTTATCTAAATGGAGCAAATATCCTGTATGTAAAATATATGTCTTTTTTCATCGAGAAGGCAGGACCAGCGGAGAGACGAAAGTTTCCTCCTCGAGTGACTTCACTTCCCAAAATTAGCAGAAAAAAACGGTTCATCCGGTTAACTGTCTCTTTTTCGCTCTGCTCTGCTGCAACAACCAAAGTTAAAAAAAGAGAGAGACGGGGAGGGAGGGAGGGAGAGGAGGAGAGGGGAGAGACGCAGACCCGCTGCAAGGGCAGGGAGGAAAGCGAAGGGACAGAGAAGGATCACACAAACTTCAGGAGGCTTCGGTTGCAGGCTAAACCGGGTCAATGTGTGGAATATTGCTGGTCCCGGCTGGAAGTTATTCTAGATGGACGGCACTATTAAGGTAAAGGGGGCAAGGGGGGCTTGGGGGCGCTGGGAAAGGCAGCGAGGGTTGGGGTCTGGCTCCGTCCGTCCGCTCTCATCCTCCTCCCGCTCCGCCGCAGCGCATCGGGGCTCTCCCCTTCGCCTCCCCGGTGCTCGAGGGGCTCCGCAGCCGGCAGGGAGCCGTCGGGGCGGCCCCGGGGCCCCGCCTGGCGCGGCGGGCTGCGGCGGAAAGGCACTGACAGCTCCTGCCCTGGGGCTGCGGGGGGGGGGGGAGCAACGAGCTGGCCCCAGATGTGTGCCCCCGGCTCGGGTTTCCTTGCCCGGCCCTGCTCGGAATGCGCCGCTGGTTCTGGGGGTCGCCCGTGGGCTTCCTCCGGCAGCTTTCTGGGGGGAGAAAGCGAGGGCCGGGGGTGGTTTGGGGTGAAACATCCCCCTGGCTAGCTTGGGGCCAGACAGGGGGAAGGGGAAGCCAAGAGTGTGGCAAAAACCCACGAACATAACCAGCCTCTGGTGGCCTTGAGCAACCGAGGACGCTGCTGGGACTTGGAGAGCGGTTCCCCCTTTTCTCCCCCCATCCAACCGGCCGGTCCTTCAGCCTCTGCAAAGATAAACCAAGCCTTTCCCAAGCCCCTGGAGGTGGCCGGCGGTGTTACTCAAAGCCCAGGCAGCAGGGGGCTGGCTTTCTTGCTCTGGAGGGAGGGGGGACCCTTGTGCACTTCTTACGGGCTCTTCTTGAGCTAGCGCTGCCGTACAGGAGCAGCTTGAACAGAAGAGCCTTGAAGGGAGAGACGCTGTGGGTGTGTTTGGGTTGGAGGATTTCGAAAGATGCCTATTGCCTGGGTGGGGTGTTGAGCTCTTCTTAAAACCAGTCTATTTTTTGCTGTTTTGGTCTTTCTTTTTTATGTTGTTTTTTGCTGACCTGGTGAGAAAGAAGCTGCAAACTGACAGGAACTGAAACTTTCTCCCTTAGGTTGCAGCTTGTGACAAGTGCACTGCTTGGAAGGGTCTCAAAAGAAGGCGGAGGGAAGGAGGTGGGCAGGAAGAGAGAATGAAAAGTGGGAAACAAGAGGGAATGAAAAGGTGGATGTCAGAAAAGGAGGAGAGAAAGCGGGAGTGTTGAAAGCATAGACTTCAGGAGGTACGGCAGGAGTAAGACATGTTTCCCCCGCCACCTCCTTAGATCTGTACCAAAAGGAACCTGGGCCTCATTCACGATACATTCAGAGCACCACAACCTTCTTTGATTTGTGGAGCCTGAAATACTGTGCAGTGAAAGTGCAGAAATCTCCCATCTGTACGTGTGCCGCGGTGCACACATGGACTTGCTTTGCTGCACAGGCCATGGGCCCCCCACACCACCCTCGGAAAGGTGCTGAAGTATTGCTACGACCCATGTAGCTCACAGTGCCTACTGGGTGCTCCTTCTCTCCCCATGCTGCAAAGTATTATTGCTTCCTTCTCAGCCCCTCTGGTTTGGAGATGAGGAACTGCGACACTGCAGCCAGGCCTATAGTCACGTTGGGGAGGCTGTGGTGAAAGGAGGAACTCGGCCACATCCCAGGTCGCTTCTAGTCCAGAAATACTTTGGCTCTTTAAACTAAGAGAGATGGGGTCCAGATACATCAGTCTCCTTCTGGGTACTGAGCAATTCCAGCATCGTCAGCAAGCTGCCGCAGGTCCCCATGTCCTATCATTTTCTGTATCATTTTCACTTAGATCAACGTTCCTCAGGATTATCTAATATTTCTCATCAGAGAATCACAAACAATTTGGGTTGGAAGGGACCCTAAAGCTCAAACAGGGACACCTTCCACTAGAGCAGCTTGCTCCAAGCCCCTGTGTCCAACCTGGCCTTGAACACTGCCAGGAATGGGGCAGCCACAGCTTCTCTGGGTGTTCCAGTGCCTCACCATCCTTATATCTGACCCACACATAGCCAGATTTGCTGCAGTCCACCAGTGAAAGGAAGGGGTTAGGCTACCTTGCCTTGCTTGTCTCAGGTGAAGGGCAATGGGAGAGGATGTGGCTTGAGATGCTTCAATGTTTTGAATATGCTGAGCTCCTGCCATAACCCATCATTCAGGGGAGATTTTCTAAACTCTAAGATGCAGGAAAGCAAAGTTGTACTGTAGCCAGAGGAAAGCAGTTGAAAAGCAATCGTCCCTTTAAATCTGCTCTGCCATAGGTGGTAGGCATTGATTTGTCTCAAAGCTGTGTGTTTATGTTGGGAAATAGGGCAGAAAGATGCACGTAAGTGACTAGAAAAGACCCAGCAAAAGCTCTGTCATTACTAGAGCAAGAACACAGTGAGGGACCAAATAAAATCTACCAGTGTGGTTAAGAAGGGCTTCCCTCTGTAAATTCAGCAATGTATCCCTCTGTGTAGAACATAAATGCTGTGTAGCACAGAAGAGACATGGGAGAGGGTTTTGCCTTCCAGATGGTTGTCTTCTTGAGCAATTTAAACAGTACAAGGGATTGTTTTCTCAAGTGTACCAGAACTATTCCACAGACTAATTGTTTTAATTGAGCCAAAGACATTTAATTGCACACTTGGCAGATGCAGGAGTCTGAATTCAGTCTACTATAGAAATCTCTCCTTTCGCCTTGCAATCTCTAGTATTCGGTTTGTACTTTCCTCTTTTTTAGGCCATTCAGAAGGAGTCTTAACAACTGGTTTTGCCTACATGGAATAATTTAACTGCAAACCTGCCCAGCTGCAGTGTAACTTAGTAGTAAAAGGGTACATCCGCTGCAGGCTTGACGTCTGTCCTAAGGGCTCACAGTTGCATGGTCCTGGAGGAACAGAGCTTGGTCGGTGAATAGATGTGGACATGTTTTGTGCACATCGTGTGCAAGTGTGAATTGAAGTCTTTTGCAGAGCTTTTTAACCCATAGCTCAGGGAATTCAATGGGTTTAAACATATGTAATGGGATCAGCCTGGACTCTAGGTCATTGTTCCCCATCATGCACTGACTTGCATCCCATATGATATTGCTGAGCCAATGCACCAGGTCTAGAACATGTTTTTCTTTCTCCACAAAGAGTTATTTATCCTGAGAGGAGTTAGAGCACTTACTGAGGAGGGGGAGGCAGGTTTTGCTGTGCTCTTCAAACTACCTGTTCGATATGAACCTAGCTGATGCTATGATTCTAATATCTGGCACAGGAGGTGGACTGATTGGTTTGAAAAGTGACCTCTAGAGCAATGCTCTAAGGTCTTTTATGGCAATAGAAGTGCAGCAAATCTATATCTTTATTAGTTTATTTCCATCTTCAGTTCATATTCTGCAAGCAATGCTTGCAAAAGATGATTGGGAGTCAGTGAAACTCATGACAGCTTGTGTTTGCATGGATTTCAAATCACTGGTAACATCTTTATTGCACGCCTCCAAATCACATCTTCTTTGGGTTAACATCCTGCTCTGGCTTAATTTATATTGTGTTTGCAGGGTTTGTTTTTTATTGCCCTAAATTGAATAAAAAATGGGTACATCTAATCTCAGCAAGATGCCCATGCACGGACTTCCTCATCATAACAAATGGTGTGGTTTTAAACTGTTTAATTGTTTCAGTTCCACTTTACATGTGGACAATAATTAAAGCAAATATACTTGCCAAAGCCTGTCTGTTAATTAAAAAGCCACATTTTGTGTAACTGCTGCTTTCATTCTGTGCAAACATGTTTGTCTTTATGTTCTGGACATAAGAGAGAGACCATCTGAAGGGCATTCAATGAACATTTTGCATTACTCAAGGAGATGACAACCATACTTGTCTCCTTCCATGAGAAGACAACTTGTGTGTTGGTGTTGCTATAGCAAAGGGTGGGGTAGGGTTCTCTTGCAATCACTGTTTCTTGTCAGTTGTGAACTGTGGGCGTTCGCCTCTGGGCCTGAAACTTGGCCATCAAGATCTTGATCTAAGAACACGCTTCCTTTCTGAGCAAGTTGAAGTCTCTGTTTTGCCATTTTTAAACTGCCCTGCCTTTGGCCCTGTAGAGATGGCCTTTCCTGGCACAAAAGCATTGACCTCGAGGGCAAGATTCTTCATCTCTAGAATGAAAAACCCCTACCTATAAACTAAGTTTGCAGAGACCTTTGCTGACTGGAGGTTTTCCCTGTTGCTGTCCCTCAACAGCCATTTTGAACAGAACCATCTGAACCATCCAAGGGATGAATGACGATATTCCCTTATACCCTAGTCCCTAGTCAGATGGCATTTGTATTGCATTACAGCTTTCTAATGGACAACAGCAAAACCCCATTGGAAATGTTTGTAACTGGGATATTTTTATAAAGCTACATCATTTTCCCTCTGAAATCTGTATGACCACGTGTGCCTTTTGCCTTAGTATGAACTTACAATCATGCGCTGCGTGCTGTTGACTTGAGGTGTTTGTACTAACTCCTATTTGCAAGTAAACCACTGGGAGAGTCTCTTCAGAGCCTGAGTAGCTCTGCTGCTCTGTGATGGAATTATTCCTGCTAAGGGAAGGCAGGTTTGTCTGAAGCAAACCTACAACAGAACAGCACAACTGCTTAGCTTTTAGGCACTTGGGGTTTCACTCAGAGCCTTTACAGAGGTGCTGAGAGTCTTGTATATAGTTTCTCCCCACCACTGTGGATTTTACCCTAACAGGATGTGGTCACTTTAAGTAGTAGCGTGCATGTCTTGAGGATTTCATGCTTTTATTTTAGTTATTTATCTAAATTTTGTGATCCTCCTTTGTCACTGCTTGGAGCATTTCTTCTAAGGAGAGTTTTGTTGGAGTTCTGGTGTGCAAGGGTGGTATTCACTGGGGTATTATGGGAAAGGGACAGAAAGCAAGAGAAGCAAAGGGGAAGGTTGCACCTCGAGGTGAGGTCTTAGATGACAGGCTGATAAGGTGAGATATGCTGGGGGAAGGGCATTTATAGCAGTTTTTGCAGGAAGCAGACTTTATTTTCTTCAGGTCTCTCTGTTCTTAGAGAAGGCTTTCCTCCTGATTTCAGTTCACATCTCAGAGCATCAGGCCTAGAATGAGGTATGAAAGCAGATTATGAACATACAACCTCCCAGCACCGAGCATCTTCCATGCTTTTTCTCCCAGTAAAACATCTGCAAGCGAAGTTCTTCTGCAGCACCTCATAAGCTGCATTGGACAAACAAAACTTTCTCATTCTGCTTGCGTTTACTTGAACACTTAAAGACCCCATGTTCCATCTCAGTGCAATCAAAACTAAAGGAGCCAAGGGAGCCTTAACTTCAGATGTTCAGATATCTGTGGCTTTGCTGCACACCTCATGTTGCAGAAGCACGGCGTGAGTACTAGAGCGTGCGTGAATGTGGGCATGGCTTGCCTAGAAAAAACAGGTCTAACGCATTAAGTTTAGCTTTACAACTTGGTTTGAAGCCAATTTCCCCCCCAGATATAAAATTCTCTTTAAATCTTTTGTTCCGAATCAAACAAGAGATCTGTTTCCAGTGTCTGTGCCGCTGTTGTGCTCTCACGCATGTGTGAACGTGAGCGCACAACGCACGTGATGTGAAAAGAGCTGCTTGCGGTGTACCTCTTGTACAAAGCCATGTCCCACTGCTATGGGTGATGCCTAAGAACTCTTTCTGAGTGAACAAATGTCTTTGTGCAAGGCTGCGAGTGCATATTTATAGCTGCATTTGAAAACACAGACTAAAATATCACCACACAAATGTGGTTTTCTGCCTCCTTCTGCAAACAGTCTGCCCAAACCTTTGCTAACTTGTGCACTGCATCGTCACGGACTCGGGGACACTCGGGGTGCTGACCAAGTAACTTATCACCAACCTGAATGGTC